TTCTTCACAATGTTCAGTCCATTCAAAAATATTATCCTTTGTTAGAAGGTTACTTAAGGGCTTAGATATTACACTAAAATCTTTGATGAACCTTCTATAAAAACCAGTATATCCTAAGAATGATCTAACATCTTTAATAGATTTTGGTGTTGGCAAGTTCGCAATTGTTAGAAGATAATTTTAAAAAAATCATAACAAAAAAAGAAGAAAAAAACTATATATCGAAACACTATGACAATTCAAAGTATTTTGTGAGGAAAGTTACAATGTTTTCTCTATATGATTTAGGCTTATTTGTAATCACTTGTAATTGTTAATTTAAAAAAAATAAAATTAACAAAGATAATTTAAAAAACAAAAAAAAACCACGTGGGGAAGCACTGAAGAAGTCCTCCATGTTTTGTGAGGAAAGCTATAATGCTTCCCCCAATAAAATTGACAAAGATAATTTTGGAAAAAATCATAAAAAAAACCATGTAGGAAAACACTATAGCAATACACAGTGTTTTGTAATAAAAGTTATAGTGCTTTCCTTACATGATTTAGCTTTATTGTAATTGTAATTCTCAACCAGCTCAATATTAGAAAAAATAAATCGACAAAGATAATTTTGAAAAAAAACCCTGTGAGGAAACATTGTAGCAATTCATAGTGTTTTGTGAGGAAATCTACAATACTTTACTCACATGATTTAGCTTTATTGTAATTGTAATTTTTAATTAGCTCAATATTAAAAAAAAATGAACAAGGACAATTTTGAAAAAAAATTATAACAAAAAAAAACTATTTAGGGAAACACTATAGTAATTCATAATGTTTTAAAGAAAAAAAATACAAAACAAAATTCTCACCCAGCTCAATATAAAAAAAAAAAAACAGACAAAGATAATTTTAGAAAAAAAATCATAAAAAACCATATGGGAAAATACTGTAGTATTTCACAATGCTTTGTTATGAAAACTACAATTATAATTTTCAACCAACTTAATATTAAAAAAATAAAATTAATAAAGGCAATTTTGGAAAAGGTCATAACAAAAAAAAATCATTTATGGAAACATTGTAGCAATTTACAGTGTCTTAAAGAAAAATAATTACAAAACTAAATTCTTAACCAACTCAATATTAAAAAAATAAAAACAATAAAGATAATTTTGAAAATAAAAAAAAAACATGCGAAAAAACACTATAACAATGCATAATATTTTGTGAGAAAAGCTATAGTGCTTTGCCCACGTAGGTTAAGCTATTTTGTAATTCACTAAACACTGTAGCCTTTAAATTTTAACTAATCATTTCCTGCACACCTACTAACCAGGCCTAATTGGGTCACTAGCTTAGGCTAGTGACCTAGCCGAGCCGA